CTTATGTAATTCTAAACAGAATAATCCTATTTCTTAATATATTACATTGTAACGAACAGCCAAAAATTTTCCAATGTACATAAGGAGTATAGGACTACTGTATATACATACAGTAAAGAAACATTTTTTTTTATTTGAACATGACTTTTAGTATCTTCATGGACATGTCCTCATACTTTTAATCACAACAGTTGAGGTGATTTGCATTGCTTTTACCCCATGCAGGCTTTTTCCCCCCTTCCCATATAGTTGAAGCCCTGGTAGTTTTCCACAGTGTCTTGCTTATTTGTGAATCCTGCCTTTGTGATTTATAAACTGTGGTTTAGCAATATAAGTGAAATAGTGCTTCGTTCACAGCCTAGTAAGCTTATTGCTGCAGACAATTTTAAAATAATTTTGCCAGTCTTGAATGCCTTCGTCTGGAGAAAAGCTTAAACATTTTGCATGTTGATTTTTATTATTAAAACTTAGTCTTGAGAAGTTCCTCTGTTTTAAGAATCCCCTTGCATCAATATTTTAATTATTTTTAGCTTGTTTTTCCTTTAAAACAAACAAAAAAGATATGATTGAAACAACATAAGCAAATCTGTCTCTGTCTCTCTCTCTGTTAAAAGTTCTTTATCTTCATCCCGGTTATGACAAAATAGAGGTGAGGTTTTTTAGACTTAAATAGTGACCTTTTAGAATTGTGCAGATGCAAAATTGTGAAAGACTTTTCTTTTTTTATAATCAGTTGTTTCCAATAATGGCATATTTGGGGGATGCACATAGAATTGGAATATCTATACAATTTAAAAAAGTAGTGTTAGATAATTAGTATATTTTCAGCAATGCTTCATCTTTAAAACGGCTTCACAGTCCAAAGGTGCATTGGACTTGACTATAGAAACATTATTTACATAGCACTGAAGGTGTTAGGGTAAATATATTAATCAGAATCAACCTTCCCCATTCTTTGAAATCATTTGGAAAAGCCATAACAATAAAATGTAATTGTTAACCAAAACTAAAACCCCAGTAAAAGACAATAAAAATATTACAATATGTTTTAATGAATACATTACATTAAAAAGCTTTTTAAAATGAAGAAATGGCAATAATTATTAAAATTTTGGCAGAACATTATAATTTTCATCTGTCAACTTCACTGAGCAAGTCAGCCCAGTCTCTCTGGGGAAAAAAGTTCCTAAACTCAAGCCTTCTTCTGCAAAAGCCTAATCACAAATAATATGATATATCTGTTTTTGGCAAAATGTGTTGTTTGAATCCACATTACAGGCAAAATAGCCACTCTGATGCTTGTTCAGCAAACTGTACTTGCAAAAACTGTAGGTTTTTAGAATTTTAAGTCTAATTATAACTGAAAATTTCTTCCCTCAAAGCATGAATCTCTAGAATATGGGACATAAAAGCTGACCTTCAGTGCATAATGCAGGTTCTGGCAGATATATATGTTTTCAAAATAAGCTGGTCCAAGATGTACAGGTATGAACAAGCAACTCAGAAAAATTTGGAAATAAATTTGAATTCACTGAAGATATTTCAAGACTCATTGTAACATGCATACGAGGTTGCTCCTTGTATTAGTTGTTACTTCTAAATATTTTTCAGGTCCAACCCACATCCAGCATGTTACAGTAATCTACTGTAGAGGAAGGGATGAGTCATTAGGATATTAGCACAAGTAGATTGGGGAAAAATGGAGATTATATCAGTACCTAAAACATTAAGCATTACTGCCATTGTCTAAATCTACATAACAATTTGGAGCTGAAAGAAAACATTCTTAGTTTGCTGCATTTAGGATTTTTAAGATTTCAGAGAATGGATGTGGGATGCATTACTGAATGTCTGCTGAGGACACCAACCAGTAACAGTCTGCTTATAGGCCTGTTGGATGATATTTATGGTCTGTTTTAACACTGACCTAATTTTAAGGCTGAATGTTGACTTTATTTTAAGAGAATGTACATGCAGCATTTCTTAGGAATGTGTAGCAATTATCTTAGCAGAGACTGGGTTGCAGTTTTCATTTGTACTAAGTAGCCATCATGGTGAAAACAGACCAATAAAAATCTCCTCCATTTTCGTGGATAGTATTTTTCAGTGGCTGAATTTATACCATGTGATCCAGTTAATACCAAAGTTCATAATTTGAACAAACATAAGCTAGTAATTAGCTTTTCCACATAATTTCCAACCATTTCAGAAGCATCTTTATCAAATTGCAATATTTCAAATGTCCATGAAATAGAGATGTTTATGTGAATTATCCATCTTTGGGCCATGATCTAATCTTGGCTTATCCATCAAGCTTACACCTGATGGGATCTTGTTATCTACCGGTTGGTGCAAAAGATAGCTCTTTTAGATTTTCTAGAGTCCTTGTGTCCATCATCACTGAAACTAAATTCCTAGGTAATCATTTATTTTTTATTTTATTGCTTTTTAAATTAGTGACAAAAAAAACAAAAATAAAAATAGATACATTATTAAAGAAATAAACACATAGAATTTTGTAAAAAAAAGAAAAAGTACAACAAAGAAAGAATGAAATAAATACATCATGTAAACAGTAAATTCTATATATAGTTATTTAATGCAATTATTATTCAAGTATATACATAAACATATATATATATGTTTCTAACATAGTGTTAGAATAGATAGTATAGTATAACTCATGTTTTTTAACCTATTGTGTTTTGTAAAAATGAGTCTCATATTTTATTATATTTTTCTATACAATATCTATGAGTCTCATCCACTCATTGCTCGCAAGTGCAATCAGGTCTTCAATCCATTGAGTGAAAAGTGTCATATTTATCTTTCCAATGCTGTAATATGGCCAGGGTGGGCGTGGGCAGCTCAACTTCATTCGTGTCGGGGGGCACCTGTGATGGCCCGGGCGGGGCTGGGGGGGGTATCCATTGTCTTCAGCCGAGGAAAGTGAGACCAGGGCAAGCACTATACCCTTGTCCACCAGAGGAGCCTTGCTGTCCCTCTCAGGCCATGCATAGGGCCCCCGGTGATGCAGGCTGCCTGGAGCCCTGGGCAGTGGAGGGCAAGCATCCAGTCCAGCCTTTTCCCAAGGGAGCACCCGGCTGTACTTACCTCCTCCTCAAGGCTGCTGCTGATTAGCTTGCTCTCCTTGGCCAAGTTGTTCATGGTGTGTGCGGGACAGGGCAAAATGTGTGGGTCAGAGGAAGGCCCTCTCCCTGCAAGGAGACTCAGCTTTGTAACCAAAGTATCCTCAGCGATAGTATGGGAGACCACCAGGAGAGGTCAGGAGGAGGGGATGGCAAAAGGGCAGCAGGGCTGCTCGTGGCCAAATGCTAAGGCAGGACTTCCCTCAGACTCTTCCTCCCTCTCATTATAATCTTTCTTCCTCCCTCCCTCCCTCCCTCCCTCCCTCCCTCCCTCCCTTCCTTCTCATCTCTTTCCTTCCTCTGCGCTCAGGAAGGGGTGATGGGAGGGTGAGAGATTGCCAGCGCAGCCATTGTCCATGCTGCCAGCCCTTGCTATCCCATGCAGATGGGCGGAAGCAGTCCTGGTGAAAAGGAAGCCTCATAGCTGTGAGGCTAGTCATTGAGTGGACCATGGAGGTGCTGGTGGGAGGGGGAGTGGCGCTGATCTACAACCTGGTTGCATCCATCAAAGCCAGAACGTGTTCAGCCTTAGATCCACAGGGCAGCCCTGGAACCAGCGAGGAGCCACCCCGCCACCTCTGCCTCATGCCCTGGGTGTGCGCACAGGAGACAGCCAGCGCCAGCATCCTAAATAAAGTCATCCTGTGGGGCAAGACAGCCAGCAGGGATGCCAGACTCCGCTTGCGTGCACACCCAGAGGTTGGGGCAGGGGCTGCCCCGTGGACCTAAGGCTGAGCATGTTCTGGCTTTGATGGATGCAACCAGGTTGTAGATCAGTGCCCAGTTGGTCTGGGCCAGGCTGAGGTGCTGCAGGCCGGTCCTTCGCTGTTTCCAGAGCAGGTCCTCAGGCCAGACGGAACCACATGGCGGGCCGGATCTGGCCTGCGAGCCTCGTGTTTGACATGTCTGACATAGATGTTACTCTGCTACAGCCTCTCTCCTGTATCTCTTTGAGACTTATTTTCAGCAATTCTTTCTGCAGTAGAGGGTCCAAGCGAGATTAAATATCACTAGGCTTAATAGATTCATTTTTGTAGTACGTCTAGAATGGTGAGCATTTGTATATATCTGTTTCTATATAACATACTATTAGAACATTTTGCCTTATGACTGAAAGTTCATTCTCCTAAAATGTTATTTTATTCATTGTATTGACACCTTGTAATGAAAAGTAACACCCATGTCCATAGCTAGCGATATCTGTACCATAGCTTATACTTTGGCCACTCAACCAACCCATCAGATTTGCAACGAACCTGGGCATGCTGAAATGTATCCATATTTGATTTCTGCACCAGAATAATAAGCCCTGGTTTTCCTACATGTAAATCCAACTATTGGCAATATACCAGATCGGTGGAATTTAAATGCATTGATATCTATGGTAAAACATCTATATTGATGCTATTTCTCTGTGTAATAGATTCCAAAAATCGCTAAATGCTGGGTATGAATTATGAAATTGTGTATGAAATTGTGATTGAATGTTGGCTATGCATAGTATATAGAACTGGTTCATTTGTTCTGGACAAGTGGCAAGCCTTATAAAGATTTTTGTGTGCTCTGAATAAAATTATACAGTTGGAGAGTGCAACAACTGAATTCACCAGCTGTTTTTTGCTGCCTTCGTCTGTTTGACTTAGCCAGCAAAATTCTCATTTTCTCTCCACACAAATCTGTGGGGAAAAGAACTGATAAATAAATAGGACAAAATGCTAACAGCAGGTACATTTTACCTTTGTCTACAACCTTTAAAAATAATTCACAGTTTCTGGGTGACAGCTTGGCAAAAAAGCAGAGAGCTACAGTGTTGACTTATAACTTGTCGTTTCTTCTCTACTCCCTTTGCAGTGAACAATGGCAAGTATTGCCAAGTTTAATATTGATGCCCCTCGCTGGGACCAGAATACCTTTATGGGGCGTGTAAAACACTTTTTCAACATCACAGATCCACGGACACTGCCAGTTTCAGAGCAAACGTTGGATTCAGCGAAAACAATTGTAGAGAGCTGCAGGTAGTCAACTGGGAGGTGCTGGATAATGTCAATCAAATTTGGAACTTTTGTAAAAATCTAAGAATTGCCTCTTTTCAAATGTATCAATAAAACTAATAGATACTAATCAGACCTGTGATGACAGTCGCAAAGACAAATTTGGCCCAATACTGGGAAACACTTTACTGACAATATCAGACTGGGAAACCAACTTTGCAAATACACAGCAATTGCAAAATGAATACTATACATCCAGAACAGAAGTTTGGCTTGTTGTGTAACGTATTATATAAATTCAGTCAAATGTAGATGCTTACAGCACCCTTTTTAAAGGGGAAATAATTGAGATAAAAACTGTAATTAGAAGCAATTCCAATGTTTATAAATATTTTGATGCAACCAATCATGTACAATAGAAGTGAATTTAGAACTTAATGTTTTTACTAATTTTTCTCATTTTGAAATTATTTTATTTTTATTTATTTGAAAGGTGTTTTTTTTCAATGTTTTTCTGTTATCTATTGCCCTTTTTCATTTTCTTTCCCCTCATGTGATTATGTGCATTTATTTGTGGAACTTTAACAAACAGCCATGATATCAAATTGCCTTGAGGCAAGTTGGGTGGCAAATAAAAAACAGACAGACAGACAGATAATTAAAAATAAAATAATGTATTATTATTAAAGTCATCTTTGCAGTTGGGCGGTGATAATTCTTAAATGCATACTCAAACCTATTTTGAGAACCAGATTTTTCACAAAAGGAAACCCTTCATAACAAAAGGATTTCTGTTCCTGGGTCTTATTACTAGAAAATTAAATCTATATACATTGAAATCCCATGCTCTTATAAATTGAAATGCAAGGCAGAATAGTGCCTAATATCGTACAAACAGGGCCAGCCCTACTACTAGACAGAGTAAAACAGCTGCTTCAACCACCTGATCTGGTGCTATTGGAAGATTTAGTCATCCAAAAAGGTATTATTGTTGGTTTGTTTCTATTAATTGTGTGACATTTATATTTTGTGCCTTCAGTATCAAAGTTTCTTTTCTTACATCCAGCTCCACATTGCAAGCTGCATTTAGCTGCTTTGACATACAACAAATTTGAATGTTGTTAAGACCCCAACCTGCACTCACACTTGTTTCAAGAGAGGGCTTCTCCTGCAGCTCTACCACACAATTTTTCGGAGGCATGCGCTGTGTATTGAAATTATTAAGATATATAAAGCTAAGAAGATATTTCTTTTTTGCGCCTCTAGGGCAGGTTCGGTACCCCCTGGAACCAGTGAGGAACAGCTTTTCTATGCCAAAAAGCTATATGACTCAGCTTTCCATCCTGACTCAGGGGAAAAAATGAATTTAATAGGGAGGATGTCATTTCAAGTCCCTGGAGGAATGGCTATCACAGGCTGCATGCTACAGTTTTACAGGTAAGAAGAGGCATTTTTTCTGAGGTCCACTGCTCTCTTTTTTCCTTCATACCTTACCCAGTTATTTCACAGACACTGCTCTGTGCAGTATTCATGGACATTCCTTGTTATCCTTATCCTACACTGTTGCATTAACGCTGAAATTCAAGCAACTACTGTATATTTTTTTAAAAAAAATTCCAAGTAGTTGACATTTATGGTGATGAAGAAAGGCTTGTGAGATAGTTTAATGATAAACTGCATGTCAAAGTAAGGGGGGGGATCCCAAATTGAGATAAACAGTTTGTACTTTGTGCAGATTAAATTTGGGGAGTAGGGGGAGAAAAATTAATAAGACTAGTTATATACTAACCCTAGTCCAGGATGCTTTAATATGGATTCCTGCACTTAGCAGGGGCTTGGTCTTGATGGCATGACTAGGGCTTTCTATTTCATGTTTCTGTGATGTATCTGTTTATTAGTGAAACAATTGACATATCTGTATCCAAAATAATACCAGTGGGGAGAAACATGCCAAGCAAGTTTCTTTTAAAAGAAACCAACATAGTTTCTTTTTTAGCTTCTTAGTGAAATAAACTAGAAACCATGGATGCAAAGACAATAAGCCGTGTATGACTTAGCAGCATGCATAAACTATGACTGTGTGTATGTAGTGAATTGTTCTTCCAATACCTTAGAGTAGAGGTATATCGAGTCTCCAACCCCCTGTCCATGGACCAGTACCGGACCGTGGCATGCCAGTCACCAGGCCGCAGAAACAAGCAAAGCCCCATCTGCAAAATGTAGGTAGCACACAAAACCACGCCCCCTCTGGTCCGCAGAAAAACCTCTCTCCACGGAACCGGTCCCTCGTGCCCAAAAGGTGGGGACTTCTGAATTATATAACCTGAGATCCCAGGTCTTCACACTGTCTGGAAGCCTGATGTGTCTATTCTTCCTAAAAACAGGGCCAACTGAATTTTTTAATTTGTCAGGAGAGAAAAATTATTAAGTATAAAGGACATAATCTAATCAATTATTTTATTTTATTTTAATTTAACTTTCATTTAAATGTTTCCTTCTTCCTTTGGCATGGTCTGCCTAACATTCAAAATGTAGTTACTATGCAACTTAAAAGTTATGTTTGGTCCTTATGCCCTCAAAGCATACCCCCTCTTGTTTTCAAACATTAAAATATTCACTCCAAAAGAATTAAAAAATAAGGCAAACAATTCTATTTCACAAAACAAGTTGTGGATTTGTCTAACAATCTATTAGCAGCTGTTTAGGAGGTATGTAGCCAACTTTGATCCCCCAAAACTAAGCAAAGTTGGACTTAAATGGCAGACCACAAGGCAATGTCAAGGCTATAGGCCAGAAAATGGCATTGCTAAACCACTTAATTGTTGCTGAGACTACTATATATCTTAGAATACCAACTCTATGTAGTGGCTTTGTTATGATAAAGAATTGCAAAGGCTAAAAATTATACAGGAAGTTAATATGATAAATGAAATGTTGAGTCCAAAACATAAGATGTTAAGAAATGTTTCTATGGTTTGCAGCAATCACTGGAAGTGGATCTTAAGCATGTGTTGTAAAAATAAATTATATTGGTGTAAATGGGTCCTGTGATGTAGGATTATGAGTTGTTTGGGGCTTCTGCATAGCTTTTCAACTAGGACACTGACACAATCTACTTAGTCTCACAAAGTGGAGCCAGAGTTTGTTTCTCAGTATATCCAGTGGCCTATATAACATAAGCTAATCAAGCTTATATTCCTCATACTGGCTAGGTTTGCCCAACCTGCTTGGCCACAAATTGCCAGTTTTTAGTCTTGCATGTTATGAGAATCCAATTTTATCTTAATGAGCAGCTATGTTGAGGATTATCTAGATAATTTTGAATTAAATTTGATATTATAAGCCGTTATTGGCCTAGCTAGTTTAAAATCAGAATATCTGTAGAACTTCCCAGCTACTGTAGTCTGCTTCTGAGGTTTACTTTTGGTCTTTCTGGCAATGGCTTTCAGGAAGGTTGTTATTATTAGTTGCAAAGTCGTGTCCAACCCATCGCGACCCCATGGACAATGTTCCTCCAGGCCTTCCTGTCCTCTACCATCTTCTGGAATCCATTTAAGCTCACGCCTACTGCTTCAGTGACTCCATCCAGCCACCTCATTCTCTGGCGTCCCCTTCTTCTATTGCCCTCAATCTTTCCCAGCATTAGGCTCTTCTCCAGTGAGTCCTTCCTTCTCATTAGATGCCAAAGTACTTGAGTTTCACCTTCAGGATCTGGCCTTCTAAGGAGCAGTCAGGGTTGATCTCCTCTAGGACTGACCGGTCTGATCGTCTTGCAGTCCAGGGGACTCGCAGGTGTCTTCTCCAGCACCATAGTTCAAAGGCCTCAATTCTTTTGTGCTCAGCATTTCTTATGGTCCAACTTTCACAGCCATACATTGCAACTGGCCATGACTATATGTACTTTTGTTGGCAGGGTGATGTCTCTGCTTTTTAGTATGCTGTCTAGATTTGCCATAGCTTTCCTCCCCAGGAGCAAGCATCTTTTAATTTCTTGGCTGCAGTCCCCATCTGTGGTGATCTTGGAGCCAAGGAAGATAAAATCTGTCGCCTATTTAGTATTGAGGTCCTTAGGATCAGCATTTCAAGTACATTGCCTGATTCTCATTGCTCACTTTCAGGTGAGCACCAAATATTGCTATATTTAGATGTAATATTAGCAGCTTCCTCTGAATGTTCCTTTGTTATTCTTTTTCTTCAGCTATTTTTTTATCTTTACTAATACGGAACTTTTTGCTTTGTTTACCTAGGATTCTTTCAGCTGCTTTAACTGCATTTTAATAGAAAATTTGTGATTACGATGTAGGATTTTTAATAAAATATTTTATAATAATAATAAAATCAGTGTCTTATCATGGCTAATACATGGCTGCAGAAGAGAGATAACATTGGTTCTATTGCATTCAGCTGTCTGGAAGATACACATACCTGCTCAGATGTTTGGACCTATGTTTACTTTTTTTCTTAACAGAACAGTTCCAGCTGTGGTGTTTTGGCAGTGGGTAAATCAGTCTTTTAACGCCATTGTGAATTACACCAACCGGAATGCAGCTAGCCCCATCTCGGTCAAGTAAGTGTTTCTTCTGGATTACCTGATAGCATAGAGTTTTCATCCATTTCTCCTTATGATCCTATTAGCTGACTTTGCTTTAGCTTTGATCTATAGCACTCTCTGGAATCATTGCTATGAGGAGATATTTTCTTGAAATGTAGATAGTGTGGGTATATGGTCAAGTTTTGCTAGCCATTGTACTTTATCATTTGGATGCATAGTATTTGCAGAGCTGACTTCAGGGAATAAAAAATGGTTGACTGTTGGAAAGAGACAATCGAGATAGATCTAGTTTTGCCGCTCCTGTATGTAGCTTTCATGGTTTATTCAACTCAGAGCTTTATTTCTGAGTATCAGCTGGTGTGGGGTAAATGTGGGATGGGACCTGAAATATAAAGGATTTTATCCTCAGCCCAATGCAATTACCTGTGGCTTGTTGTATCAGAAACAGTCTGGCATAGCTGCTCACAAACACATTTATTCCTTTTAAGAAAATTAGTCCTGAAGGGCAATGCCAGATTCCTCTTGATTTTCAACTATCATAGGCTAACCTGGCTTTTTTCTTAACATTGTCTACTTTGACTTAATGGTCATTCTTTATTTCCTGTGTGTGTCACAGAACCAGATATGTAAAACATATGTATGTCTTTATATCCCAGATCTTTCATGAGAAGCTGCAAGTGCATATAGAAAATTTTTTTTCACAAAGCTCATTCTTGTTTAAGGAAAAGAGCGTAAATAAGGGCTGTGATTAAATTTGCATTTTAAAATGCATGTGAATGATAGGATCCTTTATTACACAACTGCAGTTTTAAAATGACTAATGCCACAACTCTTATTATTTTACATCCCTTTTGGATAATTCAGGCAAATTGGAGTGGCTTATTTCACCGCTACCAGCACTGCCTTGGCAACTGCCGTGGGACTCAATCTTTACACTAAGGTACAACTCTAAAATGCTACTAATTTTAACCACAAGAGGGCAGCAGGCCCAAGGATGAGACAAGGCATCCCTGGCCTCTTCCTGTAGGAGCTTAGACCTGTAAGGAGCATAATTGTTTTCTTCAAAAGCCCTGAGTCTTCTAGTGTGGAGGAGTGGAATATCTTCTATCTTTAAAGTTTTTTGTTTTTTTTTACTTTGGACTGTAAAATATATGCTTTCTTTCTTCCTCACTTCACCACTGCAAAGATTGTAAGCACATTGCGCTTTTTAGACTAAGGGCCACCCTTCTCGTTTGAATGGCATGCCAGGGATTAGACTCAAGGATAGTAACAATCTTGAAAAGACATCTAAATTTAATTTTATTTAACTTGCATTTTCACTGGATTTAATTAAACTAAACACAGTTAAAGTTTTTTCGGATGCATGTACCACTTTTCTCCTGTATATTTTGAAAAAAAAAAAAACCCACACAGTTTGTTGGGGACTTTTATTGATGGGGTTCTGGAAGACTAAACCATGACCTTGAGGAGAGGCATGGATTCTTGTATCCTTGGAACTGCAGGTTGCACACTTTCGTTCTAAGAGACAAATTTAATGTGGGATTAGGAGAATTTATGTCAATGCAATAGAAGCCTGTTGCCCAGGGCCTCCATAGTACTGCTACTTAGTTCTTTTTACCTTTTCCTGTAAAGTTTATTCCTCTCCTTATTGCTTTATCTTTCTCCATACAGAGAGCACCATCCCTTGTGGCACGTTGGGTCCCATTTGCAGCAGTAGCTGCTGCCAACTGTGTGAATATCCCCTTGATGAGGCAACAGTAAGTCTCTTGATGAAATCCCAGGAGAAAAATAACATGATGAAGGAGAGGTTTTCTTGAACATCATGCACAGAAGTCAGCTTTAGTTTACCATGAGTGACTCCTTTAATATAAGAATAAAAGCACTGTGGGAATGGGGATAGCTGTATTTTGTCCTTGATCAACAACAACTTGATCAGTCTTATAGCTGCTTTTCAAAATTACCACTGATAGCAGAAACAGGTAGCCAGATAACTATTTTTTACAAAGAGAAATTATTCCATTACCTTCATAAAATCATTTGCATCTCTATCATTGGTCATTACAGTCTCCATATCAGTCACTAATTTGAGGCCATTAAAATCATTAACTGGCCAAATGTGGGTCATTAAAATCAAAGCAAGGGTTGCATGTGCTAAAGCAAAAAAAGGATTCACGTTGCCTCTAGTCCAGCTAATAAGCACGCACCCAATATCCTCACAGTCTACACCAGGAACCAATACTCTTGTATGGAGAAGATGGAATTTTTTTAAAAAAATATTAGAATACTACCTTACACTCATTGCTTGACTTGACAAGGATAATTAATGACCTGATAATCCAGTCAAAAATAGCATCTATGCAACTCTCCCTATTTTCTCTATATTCATTTATTTCCTGAGAGAAGGAAATAAATTTGAAAGTTTTATAATCTGACTACCAATCTGTAGTACAGTATCTCTGCTCCATCCTGGCTAGCTGTTGCACCTTCCTCTTGCAAGCTGAATTAGATTTACCAACTTCATATACTGTATGTGCATAGTATATATCAATAAAATCAACCAACTAAACATTTAAGCCACATTCTAGGCACAAAAATAGGCACACTTTTATTATGCCTATGTGCCTAAAATAGCAGATTAAGCTAGATGATAAATACAGTTCTATTATCATTTTAACCTGTCTCCAAAATCTTTTTTTGACACAAAAGCAGACTTTAGATGTCTGTGTCATCTTGTCCTCTTTGCTTCCTATTTCCTTTTTTTCCATTTTTATCCCTCTTTTCAATTTGTAACTTGATTTTATCACTACTTTTATTCTTCTTGCCTTTTGGCTCCCTTACCTCACCAGCCTAGAAGGATCAAAGTAGTAAATTAAATATTTCTCTGTCCTCAGTGACACCAACCCCAATTGGGCCACTATTTATTTTTTCCCCACCAAAGCCACCTCTTTGGTGGCAGCTGGAAAAACCTCAGAAATATCACTCATGGTTATGTTCTTCCTTTGCCCAGGGCTGACATGGGGAATGATTGAATCAGTCAGTTGTGATCCAAATAAAAGCAGTATATTTTAACCTTTTGTCCTTGCCCTGGCTATCATATGATAATTTGCTCTCAGCCTGATGACCTTTTGCTTACAGAAGCTACTGCACTGTCAACATTTTGTTGATGTCATCCTTACCTGTACAGCTGCAATTCATTAAAATTTCCATGACATCACAGTAATCTAGCCAATGGCTTCAGGAGGAGTACTTGAAGGCAACTGGCTATAGCCCAGATTTTGCCTCTTGTATAATCTGTAAGATAAGATAAAGACTGGGTCACTTTGATAATTAGGGCATGAGTGATTTGAGAACAAATGGAAAAATCTATTCTGCTAGATTGAAATGTCACCAATCTTTTTATCACTTTATGATAATATGTACTTACTTTTTTAATAGAAAATGTTAATTAAATGATGCTTTTCTCCATAACTGCCTTTTCATTTTGTGTATAACCAGGAATAGTTAATAAGAGAGAAAATAATTAAAGATTAGTCTGATTGTCATAAGAATAGATTTTGGCACCTGCTGTTCAAATAAAAATAATTTTTTAATTATACATAATAAAACATAGTACAGAGATGTCACTATTGCCCTGTCTAGAAAAAAGTTAATGATGGACAGGAAGCACAAAGCCCCATATGAAACATTACAATAAGTGTGGTTTGATATTATGAAAGCTGCATGGTGCTTTTCAGATCTTCTGTTTAAAATTGCAGTCATTTGATCAGATGTAGACTACTTATATATTAAGTAGTTGTGAGGTTAGTGTAGTTGATCAACATTGAAGAATATTTCTCAGGGTACTTCTACAATGAGTATATTCTTACTCAGCAGTTTCTCTTCCATCACAGCTAGCCAAAATTTTACATTGTAAAACTTATCTTTCCCAGATTGTGAGATACTGTTGTTCTTGGGGTTACAGCTTGTCCTGTTTTTGACTGGCAAGAAGTCATACTAAATCTTGGTGCTCTTTCCCCACAACTGACAAACTATCTTAGCACCTTCATTAAAAATCTGATGCCATCACAGTATCTCCCATATTGGGCTTTAGAATGACTACTCAGAAAGCAAGCATGACTTTAATCATGGTGCTAATGCAGAACAAGCCCAGTGAAATGAGTGGGTCTGAGTGCCATAGAAATGCAATTTTGGCACACTACTAATTGGCTAACTGAATGTGTGAGCCAGCTATAACAAATGTTTACAACAGCCACAGTGGGAGAACCATGGACCATACAGGATGGGATCTGGAAGTTTGATGAGCATTTGGAAAATGGAAAAGATTGTACAGAACAGCAAATTTTTACCAGCTTGCTCTGGCTTAAGTTATTTCATTCCTAAACAATTTGTGCCTCCATTGATAAATACCATGATGGATTTATATTGATGAATACTTTTAAAAAATTGTCACCTTCTTCATTTTACCCAGGTCTTATTTCCATTTTGACATTCAAATTACTATTTGGAGTTGCTGAGTATATAAATCCTCAGAATGTTTGTTGATATTAAGAATAGGATTCACTAGGAGGCAGCAGGGTACTATCCTCGGTGTCACATACTACCGTAGTAGCTCAAATGGTTGGACTTTCTCCACAACATAATTATTCTTATGCTGATGAAGCTTTGCATTCCTGCAAAGATGTTTATTCAAGTTTTTTGATTTAAACTGAATGTAACAGTGCCCCTGCTGCATTTTTAAAAATGACAAGGAAGGCTGGGTGACTTAGGATCAACCATTCTTTCCTGATCCTCTTCATCTCATAGATTAGTTTTGGTGGGGAGAAAAGGAATGGTTGCATTTAGTATGCTTCCTTGAGTAGTACAACCCCCACCCCCACATCTAGATGGTTGATCTTAATGTCTAAGGTCATATGTTTGTGTCTGCATTAGGGAACTCATTAATGGGATCACAGTGACAGACGAAAATGACAATACTCTGGGAAAGTCCAGGGTAAGTACCATTATCTTGGGAAATTGAAATTCAAGAATTGGTTTATTATTATTCTTTTTATAAACAAGAACATTTAGAATCATCTTCTGTACAGAATGTGCTTGAGTGCCTAAGGAGAGCCTTGTATACTGATACATCAGGTTTCAGCAAGTGCTATCTATTGAGGGTTTTTGGGGGGGGGGGCTTCCACAAACTTGCATGATGATTATTTCAGATAAAGAAGTAGATGGCAAGATCAACATTTCTTAAATAAAGAGCAGCTTGGAGTTGTTGAACTGTCCAATGTAGACTTCTCCAGCCTAATACCCTTCCAGATGTATTGGGTTAATAACTCGCAGAATTCCCAATTAGTGGGAATGCTAAGAATTGTGACTGAGGAATGTGGGGTTACAGTAAAGTTGTGTTCCCAATCTTAGCAGCATACAGATATGTCTGTTTAAATTCCCAGAATTTTCAGAATGGGTATTCTTGGACTTTCTGGAAGTCCATACATCTGGACATTCCTTAGGTAGGGAAACACTGATTTAGAGCCATGGGAGATTTATGCTATATCTGAAGGCAGCAACCTACTTCATCAAGATATAATGAAATATAAAGAATGAGGATAATAATGAACTTTTGGCATTCTTGAAGTATCTTGACTATCTGTAGTGAATATCTACCATTAGCTTGTACTACTTTCCCAAACACAATTTTGAGAGCTCTTCATTATGTTCCTTTGACAAAGAAAATTATTACCACCATTACCACTCAAAAAAGCAAAAATCATACACTCTGTAGATTCTTTAATGTTCTTTGGGATGCTTTAATGTTCCTACTTTGTTACCAGTATTCCAAGTAACAGATCTCTTTATATATTGGGAGTGCTTTACTCTTAGTACATAACCTTCTGTACAAGCTATTTTAGAGAAGTTGTATCTAGTATTATTATTTATTGTTTATTTATACAGTGGCATCAGTTTTCATGGCATTTTATCGATAACCAGAGGACAGGTCCCTGCTCACAGGAATTTACAATATAAAGTTTGACACAAGGGAGATAACAGAGAAAGTGGAGGCAGGGATAAAACAGGGTAAGATGTATGATTCATAATGCAAACTTGTTAGCTCATTTATGTCTTTTTAGTTGTTGGAACCAGAACTCTTAGAAACACCAAAATTGCTAATGATGTTATGAAATAGTCTGTTTTGCTGTTATTATACTTCCTGCCACTCTTCTGTCCAGTAGAGCAAAACTATGCTTGGACTAAAATTATGGTAAAATAAAAGTTGGTAATTGATAAAATATTATAATAAAATTATTATTTAATAACATAATTAAAAGCATTACTCAGAAATAGAATTGATGGCCATAGCAACTGATATAAAAGCGGCATGGGACAATCAAATTCTTGCTTTTTCCCCTTTTTCTAAAATACATTTTGACTGTTTTGGTGTTCTGTATTTCCTTTTCTAATATTGTTTTATAATCAAATACTGGTTTTATAAATTTTAATTAAAAATTAAAGTATGTGCCATGGTTACTTCTACCAGTAGAAAATCAGTTCCATGCATATAAGATAGGGAGCAAAGCAGAGTTCTTGTTGGGAGCAATCAGACAATTAGGATGATGGAGCCGAATTAGTGAAGATTTGAGGTAGAGATGCTTCTAGATTTTAAAGTATAAAATTAATATAGTCACAGTGGTGGAAACCCATAGAGGAGTAGCAGACCTGTTACAATATTCCTTTTCTTGCTTATACAGACACACAATTTTTCTTTCATTTTATTTTTAAGTCACACCCTGCTATTTATTAATTTTGCATTCCAAGTCACAGTTATCAGAAGGCCCCATGGATATTACCTGCAGCCACTCAGTATGCCCCAGGGTCAAATGATATTTTCACAAGAAGTTTTTAGTAAAATATACAGGTTAGATTACCAACCTATATCACATGAAGCATTCCCTGTTAGCAATAATAGCAATAGCACTTAGACCACTGGTTCTCAATCTTCCCAATGCCGCGACCCCAATCATGTGGTCGTAAGTCGAGGACTACCTGTATTTCCCTGCGGGCAGGGCAGGAGGAGGCGCGCACGTTCCGCCTCTCCTGCGGCTGCACGCGGGCCATCGCCCAGCATGCGTGGTGCTGCCCCCTGCGCCGGCCGAGGCGTAGCTGCCAAGCGGCAGTGACGGCGCAGGCCGACCACCGGCTGGGCCACCAGCTGGCCCAGCCCAAGGGAGGTAAGCCATGCGCCAGGCCCCATGCGTGCCAGCAACCCTCCCTGTGCCTGCCGCTGCCCCGCTAGCCTTACCTTGGCCACCACACGTTCGGCGTGGCGGCAGGCAGGCCCACGCGCTCCTGGGCGGCCATGGCATGCGGCAGCGAGGGTGCAGGCCGACCACTGGCTGGGCCACCAGCTGGCCCAGCCAAAGGGAGGTAAGGCACCCGCCAGGCCCCATGTGCGCCAGTAACCCTTCCTGCACCCGCTGCTGCCCCGCTAGCCTTACCATGGCTACCGCACTTTCGGTGCAGTGGCAGGCAGGCCCAGGTGCTCCTGGGCGGCCATGGCACGCGGCAGAGAGGGCGCAGGCCGACCACCGGCTGGGCCACCAACTGGCCCAGCCCAAGGGAGGTAAGGCACCCGCCGGGCCCCATGCGCGCCAGTAATCCTTCCTGCACCTGCCGCTGCCCCGCTAGCCTTACCTTGGCCACCGCACGTTCGGTGCAGCGGCAGGCAGGCCCAGGTGCTCCTGGGCGGCCATGGCACATGGCAGCGAGGCCGCAGGCCAACCACCGGCTGGGCCACCAGCTGGCCCAGCCCAAGGGAGGTAAGGCACCCACCGGGCCCCATGCGCACCAGCAACCCTTCCTGCACTCGCCGCTGCCCCGCTAGCCTTACCTTGGCTACCGCACATTCGGTGCAGCGGCAGGCAGGCCCAGGTGCTCCTGGGTGGCCATGGCATGCGGCAGAGAGGGCGCAGGCCGACCACCGGCTGGGCCACCAACTGGCCCAGCCCAAGGGAGGTAAGGCACCCGCCGGGCCCCATGCGCGCCAGTAATCCTTCCTGCACCTGCCGCTGCCCCGCTAGCCTTACCTTGGCCACCGCACGTTCGGTGCAGCGGCAGGCAGGCCCAGGTGCTCCTGGGCGGCCATGGCACATGGCAGCGAGGCCGCAGGCCAACCACCGGCTGGGCCACCAGCTGGCCCAGCCCAAGGGAGGTAAGGCACCCACCGGGCCCCATGCGCACCAGCAACCCTTCCTGCACTCGCCGCTGCCCCGCTAGCCTTACCTTGGCTACCGCACATTCGGTGCAGCGGCAGGCAGGCCCAGGTGCTCCTGGGTGGCCATGGCATGCGGCAGCGAGGGCGCAGGGCAATCACCAGCTGGGCCACCAGCTGGCCCAGCCCAAGGGAGGTAAGGCACCCGGTGGGCCCCAGGCACACCAGCAACCCTCTCTGTGCCCGCCGGCCTCCCACCTCCCACCCCTGGTCCTCTTTTACTAACTTTTAGTAGTTGCTCAGCAGGGAGGGAAGCTTTCCAGAAAGTTCACCTTGCAGCACCGTTTGCAGACTGTGGCTTTTGGCGGGCTCAGCAGGGCAGAGACAGCCTGGACAATTCCTATTGGTTTTTGAAAGCCAATAGAATTAGACTCCATTCAAGAGAGTCTATTCTATTGGCTTTCGAAAGCCAATAGAATAAGAGGGAGTAGCACAGCTAAAGAAAAGAGGGAAAAAATGGCGGACAGCTTTGTTTGGCGACCTCCGTGAAATGGTCGTTCGACCCCAAATGGGTTCGCGACCCATAGGTTGAGAACCGCTGACTTAGACTTATATACCGCTTGACAATACTTTACAGTCCTCTCTAAGCAGTTTACAGAGTCAGCATATTGCCCCATTTTGCTGACTTCAGAAAGATAAAAGGCTGAGTCAACCTTGAGTCGATGAGAATAGAATTGCCGGCAGCTGGCAGACAGCAGAAATAGCCTGCAGTACTGCATTCTAACCACTGTGCCACCATGGCTCTTAAGTATATGATACTAATCTGTTTTGGTATGCTTGGCACAGATGTCACAGTTGCAACCAAACACAGTTTAACTTCAAGCATGCTTATGCTATTTTGTGCAAACTAACTACCTTTCAAGTCACCATACTGATGCCCAACAATTAGGAGCGTACTGGTTGTACTTTGAATGCATTCCATAATGACCACTGAGAGAAATAAAATGCAGGATTAAAATGAGCCTTCTGAGATGGTTATCTTGGTTTCAATCACTATGATGGTCACTATGAGGTGTTTGATGAAAGTTGAGCTGTTTCTTGGTTTATGACAGGAAAATCAAGTCTTGATCGGTGTATTATTTTGTACTAGTTAGTTGAAAATCAGCTGTCCGTGAAGCATCGTTTTGCAGCTTTTATTTATTTAAATGCAGCATTTGATTCAATCCCTATGTACAAGCTCTAGATAAAACTGACAGCCTCTTCTATAGAGTAGATCAATGGTCAACAATTACTGATTTTAAGGCCACATGAAAATACCTTAGTGCAGATTAAATATATTTTTTTAGATTTCCCCAATTTCAGTTCAAAAGGTTTAAGTACAGTAAATTGTATCCTAGTTTTCCTTTTTTGTCAAAATGTATAACAATTCTCTAGTTCAAACCCTTTACAAAAAATAAAATTCCATCATCCAAGCTGCAAATAAATCTATTTCAGTCATAAGTGCTAATGATGCATCTGGCCTATCTCAGACACAAGTAGGTTTAAAACTCTTCCTTTAAGTTCTTGACCCATATTGTAAAGGCCAATGTTCCTTTGTGCCAAAACAAAGGTCTTTCCAGAGAGGCTTGCAAGATGTAGATATTATTGGAAAGATAATGACAGCTTTGAACACAGTTTAGAATCTACATTTTGTTGGGAACAGAGAGGGTAACTATATCTGTCTCACTATAAATATTTTTAGTGTAGGCTTCCATTTGGCTTGAAGGTTTGTAATTATAAAGTTCCAAGCCTTCAGAACCAGCACAGTCTACATTTCTAAGAGTTCTTCTGAGTGACTCTAACTCTTTATTGCATCTGGAATTTAGACTAGATTCTCTGAGTACTCACATGCAGCTCCATTGTTGAAAATTCTCCCTAAAGTTTATTTTTACTTATGGTTCCTTTGCCTCTTTAGTCCTTTTGGATAGCTTTGTTGTTTGTCCTGGAAGAAAAGCATTGAAGTGGATCTTACATATTGTAAACTGTAAGCCCCATTTTTGATCTTACTTAATATTACTGAAAGAACTAAAACTGAACTGATGCAAGATATATTCCATACTGATAGTTAGAAATACAGGTAGCCCTTGACTTATCACTACAATTAGGCCCAAAATTTCTATTGCTAAGTGAGACATTTGTTAAGTGAGTCTTGTTCCATTTTATGACTTTTCTTGCCACAGTTGTTAAGTGAATCACGGCAGTTGTTAAATTAGCAAATCGGTTGTTAAGTGAATCAGGTTTCCCCATTGACTTTGCTTGTCGGAAAATCGCAGAAGGGCATCGCATGATCCTGGGACACGGCAACCGTCATAAATATGAGTCAGTTGCCAAGCGTCTGAATTTTGACCACGTGGCTATGGGGATGCCACAACAGTCGTTAAGTGTGAAAAACAGTCACGAGACATTTTTTTCAGAGCAGTTGTAACTTCAAGCAGTCACTAAATGAACTATTGTAAGTTGAAGACCACCTGCATCTGAACACAACCCCCACCTATTATAGTGGCAGTCCATCTGGAGGACCTTTCACTAAAACAATTACTTCTTTAATATCTTGTGTTTGCCACACATGAGAGCTTCTTTTTTGGACAGTTTTAATGCTCTAATTTCCATGTGGTCAATAGGAAAGTTTTAAAAATGTGTTCTCTGTATCTGCCTTGCTTGGTGGGAGAAATGGAGATGATTATGTATGTATTGCTGCGTTCCCTATATTGCATAGATTGGAGCATAGATATTATAATGCTCCTTATATATAATTGTTTTAGAAGCCAGATGAAGAAAACATTCTCTTCAATAGCAGATTTATCTTTAAGGAAGACTGGAGACCAATAGAATTGCCAGATTTTGCTGTCTGGAGCTTTATTGTTTAGGTTTTAATTCTTTCTTTTCTGTAAGTTGTTTGAAAATAGTTGGACTCGGATAGCATCCACATTGAATGAATAAATATGTTAAAAACAGTTTAATTTCTTGTACTGCCTTTTGATTGCCTTCCTAATAATATGTAACTAACCAATAAATAATATGTAACTAACCAATAAAATATGTACTTAAACTTATTTAAAATCTTCCTGGACAAATGTAAATATTGTCTTAGTTAACAGGAGTATTTGCATTTAATGGATTGATCTCACATTGTTCCACTATTTTTGGATTATGTGAATGCATTATTAATTTTAAAAAATTAACAAAATTTACCTGCTCTTTCTTACATGCAGCTATGATCCATATCAAAATATTCTAGCTCTCTCATATTTGGTGGTCATGTAGAAATATAAACGCTTTTTGGATCAAGATTTGGTGGAACATTCAGAAGATTTTTAATAGAAGGATAAAATTTACACCACAATTGTTTCTGTTAGGTATTATTGTTGATTGTGATGGCAAAGAGATTATTTTAATGTTGAATTTAATTACAGCGGCAAGGTTGCTGATTGGGCAATATTGGAAGAAGGATTCTTTGCCTACTTTAGAAGAATGGTTTCTTAAAGTTTCTTATTTATCTGAAATGGCAAAAATTTCGGCTTATCTGAAAGAGCAATCGCAAGAGAGATATATTTTGGTGTGGAAAAGATGGGTGAATTTTATGCAGAATAAACATGAGATTAGAAAGTATTATTTAGCTTTTGAATAACTTATGTTTAAGGATAATGGTTAGAATTTTTGTTTTTATTTATTGGAGTTAAAGTATTTAAAATCTTGTTTCTTGGATGTATGTATAATTGTTTGATGTTCATTTAAGTTCTATGTTTTTTGTTGTTGTTTTTTTCTTTTTTTTTTAACCCTGTATTCAGCTCTGGGAAGGAGGGGGGAGGGTGATGGGGGGGTGGGAGGGGGAAGTATTTTATTGTAAAACTTTAAAAATTTTCAATTAAAAAAAATATTCTAGCTCTTTATGAGTGCTTTTTAACAAAAATATTCTGTCTTTAATATGTTGTAGTTTTAAATGCAGCTGAATACTCCTGAACTACTGCTTTCCAACAATAGGTATCACTGGCTTTAATAAGCATTCCTAGTAAGCGTGTTGAGATAAGGTCTGGGGAAATTGGCATTTAGGATTGTCCCACCAGCATTGCCCTGCTTCTGAGGCTGGATATTCTACAGTGAATACTGTGTCATTGCTGTTTGTTTGCTTGTTTGTTTGTTTTAGAGAGCTGCAATCAAGGGGATAACTCAGGTGGTGGTTTCCCGAATTGCTATGGCTGCTCCTGGCATGAGTAAGTGCTAAGTATTTCTCTTTTGTTGGACTGTAGTTTGGCATGTTAATTTAGAGGTAGGCATCAGAACATAAGTATCCAGTACAAATTTTTAATACCGTGTTTCCCCAAAAGTAAGACCTAACCTGAAAATAAGCCCTAGCTTAATTGGGGGGTTAACATAAGCCCTATCCCCAAAATAAGCCCTAGTTTTGGGGCAAGGCGCATGCCTAAAAATCAGGCTTAGGGCGGGTGTGGGAGGGTGGAGTTTCCCCATGTGCTCCGCACCCACTTACTGTTGCAACCAGGCCTCCCATGAATCGACACTTGCCTCACCTTGCTGGCCCATTTCTTCGGCGCTCTCTGACCTGCATTTTGCCATTAGTGGCCTTCCAAGAAAGGCCTCTGCAGCCAAGAACCGAGTACAGATTCAATCCGTAGCTCAGTTCTCAGCTACAGAGGCCTTGCCAGAAGGCTGCTGACAGTGAAATGCAGGCTGCAAGGTGAGACCATGGAAAAGACACCCCCTGAAAATAAGACCTGGTGCCTCCTTTGGAGGCAAGAAAAAAAAAAGACCAGGTCTTATTTTTGGGAATACACGGTAGAAAACGATGAAATGTGCATCATTGATATCAGAACATTAACTTCAGCATTTCATTCTTTTGCTTTGACATTGGATGCAAGTATATTAGTCATGTCATTAATATCATGAGGTACATTTCACCATTCAACTTCTTGCATTGTCCTCTAGTGCAACAGCTTGCAACTTGGTGACCGCCACAAGGACTCCCAGCCAAGTTGATTGCTGCTATGTTGGTTGGGTATCCTGGGAATTCACATAGGGGACTCACTGTTGGCGAAGGCTCTTTTGGTGGGTTCTGCTGGAGGGCTCTTGAAACTATATTTAGAATTGGCTCTCATTTGTTATGAAGTTTACAAGCTAGTAACTGCTCATTAGTTAGATCTTGCTCCACATTAAAATCATAATTAGCTTCCCCTATGGCACCCTTCAAGGTGATGGCTAATGTTCTATTACTTTCAGCCAACTGGGGATGATTGGGGCTTTAATTATTCATTTACAGATGCCAGATAGAGGAATTTCTAAGGTGTAGTATTAATTTATTTATGTTGTTAAGATTCAGATTTAAAAGTTTAGAGCAAAATCCATTTACAATATCTTAACTCTATGTATGGGTGGGTATGTGCATGGCTAAGTCCTGTAGGATGCCAACATAATCCATGAAAAAAATGAAAGGGAATTTATTAAAATGCCTAGCTTCAAGTATGGTAAGCATTTGACCATGTATTGATTATAAACCTTTTAAAATGCTATTATGAGCCATAGTATAAACATTCACAGGTATGATCAAAGCTGTTACTGAATGATATTGTGTTCTATTTTCTTGAGAAATAAGCTACTAGATTTTTTGTAACATGTCTACATGTTGCGTTTTGTTCCCCTATCACTGAGTGGAGATGTGGGACAGAGTTGATCCAATGAAAATAAAATCATTTTTTCATTTTAGTTTTGTTGCCTATTATCATGGAGGCATTAGAGAAATATCCATTCATGAAGGTAAGTTACCCAGAAAATGGAATGAATGAATTAGTTTGTTCTTGCTGTTGTTAAATAATAAGGAGTCAGAAATTTTAGATAATTATGCAGATAACTAGATAGCTACCAGAAGTTCTACATAGTCTTCACTTTGGCAATATATTACATTTGTTAAAGTAGGAGTCTTCAAACTTGGCCCTTTTATGACTTGTGGACTTCAGCTCCGAGAATTCCTCAGCCAGTGTCTGGCTGAGGAATTCTGGGAGTTGAAGTCCACAAGTCATAAAAGGGCCAAGTTTGAAGACCCCTGTGTTAAAGGTTCAAAATAGATCATCTGCACATAACTCAATAGCAAATCTACTGCTGCCAGCAGAAACAAGAAAAACAAGAGAAAGACAAGGGGGTGACATGATAGCAGTATTCCAATATATCAGGGGTTCCACAAAGAAGAGGAAATCAAACTATTCTCCAAAGTACCTGAAGGCAAGACAAGAAGCAATGGATGGAAACTAACCAAAGAGAGAAGCAACCTAGAACTAAGGAGAAATTTTCTGACAGTTAGAACAATTAATCAGTGGAACAACCTGCCTCCAGAAGCTGTGAATGCTCCAACACTGGAAGTTTGTAGGAAGAGACTGGACAGCCATTTGTCTGAAATGGTATAGGGATTCCTGCCTGAGCAGGGGGTTGGACTAGATGACCCCCAAGATCCCTTCCAACTTTATTATTATTATTATAAGGCAAGCCTCCAATAAAAAACAGAACAATTGAAGCAAGTTATTTTTATTTTTTGGTTGTTTTTATTGTTTTTTTTACTTGGCTTTAATTGTTATCTCTCCTGGGTTATCTATATGAAATAGGTAGTCTGTATATTTATTATATAAATAATGTACATTATTTGTTGTCGTTATGATTTTTTAAAAAGACCCTGAAAGCATCTAGTTGCTACTAATCAAAATTATGTAGAGTCAGTGGTGGGATTCAAATATGTGAACAACCTGTTCTCTGTGTGGATGCCGCTTCTGGAAGTCTATTCTGGGCCTGGGCAACAAAAAATTAGCTACCAGTTCTGTCAAAGTGGTGCGAACTGGCTGAATCCCACCACTGTGTAGAATACCAGAAAAAGGTTGTTTATTATACTTGCATACTACAGTAAATCATACTGGGGTCGGTTGAATTGAGCTTAGCATGGTATCAGAATTTATCTAATGGTCATTTATTTAATAAATTAAAACCTCTATAATAAAAAAACTAAAACAACCCAAGTTCTAACCACAGTAACTAAAGAAAACAATAAAAGCAGACAGATTTAGGCATTGTATTATTCATCATAAGCTTTACAGAATAACTCAGTTTTCAAAGCTTTCTGGTGGGTCAAAACTGGAGCCAACTTGCTTTCTAATAGGAAAGAATTCTGTAATATAAGGGCTGCTACTAAAAAGCAGCACCTACAAGACTCTACTCTGTATAGTAAACAGAAAGATTCCCAGCAGTTTCTCCCAGATGCAAGTTGGGTGAGTTGATTCCACCTGAAGGAAATTGTCCTACAGGTATTTCACTGCAGAGCCATAGAGGGTTTATGACTTACCCTTTGATGTGCATACCCAGGAGCTAATAGAAAGCCACTGCAGAAACTGAAATACAGATAAAATGTAAGAGCCAACTAATATCCGGTAATTGCATTCTAGATTCGGGCCTTATTGAAGTCTTATCATCTTTTAAGACAGCCCCAAGTATACCATATTGCATTAATCTTGATGTGTAGGGATGTGTCCCAAATGGACAAAGTTTGGACAGATCACAGTCTCCATCAGCTTACACAGCAGAAGCCGTAAATCAGGAGGACCCCAAAATCATAGACTTGCTCCTTTAGGGGCAGCGCCATTCCTTGAGAGACAACAGTGGAGCAGTTAGAGTGCCTCAGTGAACAGGCAGTTACTCTGCCCTTGCTTGAATTCAGCCTTTTTGTCCCATTCAGTTCTTAAAAGCTTCTTGACAGCAGGTCAAGACATTGATAGCAGCTCCTCACTGGCTAAGCATATTGTTTAAGCATATCAACATGTTGCTGATACTGAACCCTAAATTGGCAGAAGCTTGTTGTAGATTTTTATAGATCTTTGTGCTCTTGGTTCCCAAAAGAAAAGAGATTTGTATTGTTAGTTCTCTTTATGATCTCAGCCCTAATTCTAGGAACTGAAAGTTTGAATTCTTACTTTCTTGGCATCATCTCACATGTATTATTTTCTTGGCAGAAAATCCAGGTTCTCCATGCTCCCTTGCAAACAGTTCTTGTTGGAGGGTTGTAAGTATTCTGCATCTTGCATTACTTTCAGAAGCCAGTGTTGTATGAGAGATTGCTTCAAAGCTGTAATTCCTAGTGATTTATGAAAAGGCATCCATTTTATTTGGAATCTGGGAGGGTTACAAGAGATACTGGAAGACTACATTTTTTGCATCATGGCATTAAGATATAAACTCAAGCACTGTGGATGGAAAACTATGTTTATGGCTTAGAATTATGTGTAGGATATTTAGCGAGCAATGGCTTAATGCTTGGTCAAGCAACCATGGTTAAATGAAGATTTCATCTGTGTTTATATGTGGAAAAGGGATATGTTTGTATTGTATGTGGGAATGGACATCGGACTGCTTTAAAATCCCGTGCATCTTATTGTAAATCCTGCCAAAGATATAACGTTTGCTTGGCTATTTTGAAGCTAAGACGCAGTTCTGGATTCCCTATGGAGAAAAAAAATGTTGTCCTTTCTTTTTAATAATCTGCCTTTGCCTTGCAGCCTTGTGTTCATGGTCCCAATCGCCTGTGCACTTTTTCCACAGAGAAGGTACCAATCTCTTTTCTGTCCTTTTATCCTTCCTGACTGCCCTATACAATTTTGATATAATCTCAAGTAGGAAGGCCTGGGACAGGGGAGGGGTGGGGCATGTGAAGCAGGACCATCACTCCATATTTGAAATAAAGTTGTCCATAGGAATCTTTGAAACTGAGTGAGCAAACTGTGTTGTGACACAATATCTACCCCTTACTTTTCATCATGTTGCTTTCATTGTGGCTAACTGCACACAGCTATGCAGTTATTAGTTTGGATGCAAGTCCTATCCTCCTCAGCAATGGCTATGCTGGCTCTGGATGACGAGGGCTATTCCAATGCTTCTGGACTGCACAAAGTTGCAAAAGCTAATGTAAGAATGATTCCTTCTTTTCTAGACAGGAATTATTTGTACTGATGTATGACAGGAGGTCTCACCTACATATTGGAAGCCATTCTTTTCTATAATATATTTCTGCCCATTTGTACATATTCTCTTTTAAAGATAAACTTTGAAAATGAACAGTACATTATTCGTCCCCAAATACAGCCACAAAGAGCTGTGGTTGTGACTTGCGTGTTAGTTCTGCTCAGTTGTGTTTGAATCCTAGGCCGGTGGTAAAAAGAGGCCTTGCAACAACATAATGGGACAACTCGTCATAGCCAACTGCGGCTGCGGCCAACTCACCTTAGCCAACTTGCTGAGGGACAACTTGCCACCGCCAACTCGCGGCAGGACAACTCACAGTGGCACAATTTAACAATTCAATTTAATTATTTAAAATAAATAAACAATTATTTTAATGTTTTTCATTCATATTCCATTCTGCCCCTCCTTTTGCATCCTTTCTTTAATGGTTCTATTCCACCATTTCTTTGATATAAGTATAACTCTTGTCCCACAGTGAATTGTCCCATGGCAAGTTGGCCACGGCAAGTTGTCATAGACCCTTGCAACAGGAAGGCTTGGTTAGGACATTCTGTGGACTCTACGTGCTTTTCCATGGTCAGGCCTGGACTAAGACAGTTCACTGCACGAAGAAGTGACTAGCACCCACTTCCCAAGTCTTGTCATTTCAACTCAGCCTTGCTGGATTATTGCAGCAGCATTCATTTCATAGCGGAAACAGTGAGGAAAGCCCTTATTTTGCAAGTAAAATGATCAGTTCAGTCTTACACCACAATTGTCTGCAACAGAGCTCATAATATTTTTGTCTCCTTTGCCAATATTACATCACCCAATAACACTCTGTCTTTGGGCCAGTATCAAGCAGTCTCTGGCACTTAGGGCATGGGTGTCAAACTCTCCATATCACGTGACGTGTCGTGACATAGCGTGACTTTTTTTGCATTGCCAAAGCTGGGGTGGACGCGGCCTCTGCATGATGCAACCGGCCCACGGGCCGGCAGTTTGACACTCCTGACTTAGGGGAACAATGTGTTTTCTTCTTTTTTCTTTCTAGTTCAATTGCAGTTTTGCACCTGGAGCCTGAACTCAGAGAACGAATTGTAGCTGAACATGGGGACAAAGTGACTTTTGCCTATTTTAATAAGGGTTTATGAGTGAGAACTGCCTGGACTTGGTGCCTTATCCCACTATGGACTTCTTCTCCTGGACAAAAACCTTTATAGGGTGTTTTCAGGAACAGAGCTCAGAATATTCCAGAAAGAGCAGTCCATCTCCTTTCTTCTTTCCCGTGTGTGTGTGTGTGTCTGTCTGTCTGGGTATAGAGAGAAATCTGGGCAAATTTGAGTCCTTCTTTCTACTACGTCAGCATAGTGACAAATAGTCTGGGTTTTGGAACGTGTCATTTTCTGCTTTATGGCAATGGTGAAAATGAATTACTTGTAGCCAATGATGATGAGAAATGGGATTACTCTAAAGCATTTATTCCAAACCTTAAATCCTCCTTGGTCCTTTGTGAGCACAAAATATTTCCTGAATCATATTCCTCTGTGTTTTGAAGGCCATACCTAAGTGTCTCTGATCGAAAAAGGAAACTGCAGCTCCATACTTGGGAGCAAGAATGTAGGTCTTTGGTTGTTCGGGTTTTCTCCCGCGTAAAATTGGAAGTGTCTTGGTGACGTTTCAACGAAGTCCCATTCGTCATCTTCAGGCTGGTGTTTCAGCTTCGTGCTTTGAGCAGCTGCTGCTCAAAGCACGAAGCTGAAAGCACCAGCCTGAAGATGACGAATGGGACTTCGTCGAAACGTCGCCAAGACACTTCCAATTTTACGCGGGAGAAAACCCGAACAACCAAAGACCTACATACAAATACCCGCGAAAATCTCAGAAAACATACATATATATATATATATATATATATATATATATATATATATATATATATATATATATAGTGCTGCATTTTGATTCAGAAATCAATTAACCTGTCATCAATTCTACTTTTTAATTGAACCAGACTGTGTTATTAAAAATGCACTATTAATGCATTTATGATTTTATTATCATGCTTAAATACATGACAAAATGGAAAATTATTCATTTGTTCATTCTGCAGCTACTAATGCTGTGTGAACATTAATTACTAGCAAATCTTAAGAGCCAATTCAGAACTTTGTTAGAGAGCATAATTATGTAGTCTTGCAACAGAGGTAATATCTTTTAAATCAGATTGACAACTTTATCTTCAATCATGTACAAATGAGCAGTATTTCTGAAAACAGCTGGTCTGCTTGCTTTCTGTTCTTGAACCTCTCAGTAATTTTCCTTAATTCATAATATTGTTTAAGAAATATAACTAGAACAATCTAGCATCCTTTTCACAGTGCACTGGCAGGTACCCCTGGGAAGTCCTTAAATTGGACATGAAAGTGTACAAATAAGAGTCTCCACTTAACAAGATATTCTTTATTACGTGTTTCAAAAGCTTGCCTGCATCTGATTAATTAGCAGAACTATTTTTATTCTCCTTAAAATCATGATAGGCTACATTTAGTGACATGGGGGTTGATTAAAAATTCCAAGAATTAGAAGTTTAGAAATGTATGTGTTTTTAAATTAAAAAAGGAACTTTTAGCTGATATGTTGCTATTAAGAACGTAAATTTTACAAGTAATTCACCAACGTAGTATGGAAGAGTAGGGCAAGGGACACCTGGAGCCCCTTAGTACGGTTTAGTCTTGACATTTTGCAATCATTAAAAGGGAAAGGATGCTTTTACAACTGAGGGATTAGCCTGAAGGGCAACTTTCCTGAAGTGACCTAATTGTGAATCATCCCAATGATTACTGTGTGTGCCTTTTACAGGGCCAGATTAAGGCCGACTGATGCTCTAAGCATGGCCCGACAATGGTGCTTTTCATCCCTCCCATTGCTTAACTGACAAGTTATTAAGATTCAGTAAACGCTGGAAAGTCATTTCGTGCATGGCAATGAAAAAGTTAAGGGCCTAATGCAGGTAGTCCTCGACTTACAACCATAATTGAGCCCAAAATTTCTGTTGCTAAGCGAGACATTTGCTAAGTGAATTTTGCTCCGTTTTACAATCTTTCTTGCCACAATAGTTAAGTGAACCACTGCAGTTGTTAAGTTAATAAAACGGTTGTTAAGTGAATCTGGCTTCCCCATTATCTTTACTAGTCAGAAGATTGCAAAAGGTGAGCCCATGACCCCGGGACACTGCAGCTATCAAAAATATGAACCAGTTGCCAAGCATCTGAATTTTGTTTACGTGACCCTGGGGATGCTGCAACAGTCCATAAGTGTGAAAAACATTGAGGTGGCCATGCCCACCCTGGCCACGCCCATCCAGTCTGCCATAACCACAGCCACACCTACCCAGTGGGTCACGCCCCCCACATCCCCGAGGGTCCCACAATGCTGATGCGGCCTGGCACTTTGCGATAAATAAGTGAGTTTTGGGCTGCAGTTTGGGCACTCGGTCTCCAAAAGGTTCGCCTTAACTGATTTATACTGTATTACAAGCGTAGCGCACCAGGTATACACGAACCTTACAGAAGCTTCCTTCTGATTACTTTTTAATAAGTCACATGGTGCTGTGTTTGCTTTCTTGAGCAAAATCTCTACCAAACACTTTTATACCTTTTCTGGCAAAATTGATACTCATCATAGAGGCAGAAAGTCTTTAACAAAAGTAAAGAAGTTACTCCAGGTATCATACTGAATGCTAGGGATTCAATTACCTAGAGTAGTTATGTTGATTTGTTCATTTGTTTTAGAGATTTCAGATGATTCAGCCATGGCCCAACTCAGGATCTTGTTTCCTTGCCTTTTTTTTGGGGGGGGGGAAGTAAGCACAAATTACATTTGCGTGGAATTTGTAGGTACAATTTGGATGGATGCAAAAAACACATCTTAAATTCTTTGCTCTGTTTTAAGCTTCATGGATAGAAAAGGTATCCTTTCTTACTCTTATCCCCATATATGCACCATGGACAATGCACCAACTGTACCATGGACAATGTAGGTTTACCTTCCAGAAGACTGTTGTTACCTTTCCCCAATCTGGCACTGTCCAGATATGGAATTTCAACATAGTTGGATGCACCATATTGAGGAAGACTCTACTTTAAAAATGCTTATTCTTATGCAATTTATTTTACATTCAGAATATTACCAAAGCAGTGAAATGTGCACCTGGCATTATTAATCCAGTGTCTATCCACATCTCTCATTAAAGTGTTGTTCATTTGATACCCTTAGCCTGGCTACTGGTTTATCTGTCTCTTGCTGATAATTAAATGCAACCATTATTTTAAGTCTGTTGAGTTACCTTATATTAAATTTGTTGTAATTGAATGCAAACATCATTTTGCAAATAATTTTTGAAGTAAATGACAGAATGTGACTATTGTTCTTTATTGTGGTGCTAGCCAAAATCTGATATATTAGACAGCAAATATTGACAGATTTTGGTAATTTTGTTTTAGCTCTTGACCATTCAAAATGAAATAAAACTCTGTGATTTTAAAAATTGTCTGACTCATCTTTTATAAATCTTGGAGTCATCTGTTAGCTTGAACAGAACTTCTATTTTATAGAAGATATGTGACTGGCCTATGCAGGGCTGCAGAGTTACAACTTCAGATAGACTTTGCACTTCCATAAAGATGAAAAGATGTTCAATGGTCATTGTGGTTATACATTACTCCCCGTCTCTAAGACAATACAGATAAGATTTGCTCATTGGGCAATGTAGATGGATAATCATTCTAAATAAAACATATACATGGACCCAACAAACACTAGGCAAATGTGGCAATGGATCCAGGCCATTACGGATTACAAGGTGGCTCCATCGAGATGCAAGGATGACACAGACTTCCTAAACAAACTGTATGCATTTTTTGGTAGATTTGAGGCATCAAACAGCACTCCTGCTAGGAAAGCAGAGCCCCATCCTGATGAGCAAGTGCCAAGCTTTGATGTCACCTCTGTCCGGAAAACACTGCAGACAGTTAACATTCGGAAAGCAGCAGGCCTAGATAACATCCCTGGACATGTCCTCAGGGAATGTGCAGGGGAACTGGCTTGTGTTCTCACAGATATTTTCAACCTCTCATTGCAGCAGGCAGTGATCCCATCGTGTTTTAAGACGGCCATCATCTTGCCAGTGCCAAAAAAGTCCACAATTACAAGCCTCAATGATTACCGTCCGGTTGCACTGACATCCACCATCATGAAATGTTTTGAGAAGCTGATAAAGGACACTATTGTATCTAGCCTCCCGCTAGCTTTTGACCCGCTTCAGTCTGCCTATCGACCAAATCGCTCTACGGAGGATGCTATTTCTTCCATTCTCCATCTGAGCCTGAAACACTTAGAGGAAAGAAATAGTCATGTGCATTTGCTGTTTGTCAACTTCTGTTCGGCATTTAACACAATCATTCCCCAACATCTAGTAGACAAACTGGGCCTTTTAGGCTTAAACACTCCTTTGTGCAACTGGATTCTTGATTTTCTTACCAACAGGCCCCAATATGTGCGAGTTGGAACAAATACCTCTAATACCATTTTCTTGAGCACAGGTTCTCCTCAGGGTTGTATCTTAAGTCCGCTGCTGTTCACCCTGTTGACCCATGATTGTTGTGCTAGGTTTGCCACCAACCATATTGTGAAGTTTGCAAATGATACAACAGTAGTGGGCCTTATTCAGGATGACAAGGTGGAAGCTTACCGCAAGGAGGTTGAAGGGTTGGTGAACTGGTGAAAGGAAAACAGCCTAGTTTTAAATACCAGAAAAACCAAAGAGATCATTGTTGATTTCAGAAAAGGCAGGCACAGCCACATTTCTCTGTGCATAAATGATTCACCTGTGGAGACGGTTACCAACATCAAATTCCTGGGTGTGCAGCTAACGAGTTTCTCAACAGTGAGAAACTGGTGAAGCAGGCACAGCAGCACCTGCATTTTCTGCGCCACAGGAGAAAAGCACATCTTCCTTCCCCTGTCCTGACCACTTTCTACAGGGGGACAATCGAGAGCATCCTGTCATACAGCATCACAATCTGGTTGGGAGGCATCACTGCTTCAGATAGTGGTGAGAATGGCCGAAAAGATCATTGGCAGTTCCCTCCCTCCCATCCAGGACATAGCATAGAAGCGCTGCTTGAGCAGGGTCCATAAGATTATCTGGGACACTACACATCCTCTTCATGACCTGTTTTCCTTGTTACCTTCTGGGAGGAGGCTTCGTGGTATCCGAAGCAGAACATCCAGATTCAGCCAGAGTTTCATTCCATACAGCATTAATCTTGCGAACTCTCAAGCTTCCTCCTTCTGTTATATATTCAAGATGGACAATATTTAATATTTATTTGCTACATATATGTAGGGATGTGGGTCTATACATATGTTGTTCGTAGTATGTTTAGGTGTGTGTCATGTATGTGTTTCACTTTGAGAGCGGGCAACTAAATTTCATTTTTGATGTGTGCCATTGTGCCCACAGTATAAAAATGACAATAAAGGTTATCTTATCTACAATTAAATATCAGCTATCAGTGGCAAGTACAATTTCGTAAAGTATTGAAGTAGTAAATGATAGAATCAGAAAAATCACTGGAATGTACTTGGATGAGCTGTGGATTATCACCAGGGATAAACTGAAATGGCATACAGTGGT